GGTTTGGGTTAAGTGACTTCGATGTCATTCTGTGAATGGATTGGTTGAGCAATTATAGTGCAGAAATTTGTTGCCGATCGTAGAAAGTACAGATAAGTACAACTGAGGGTGAGTTGGTGACATATTGGAAGCATGGTGAAACAAAGTGCCCAAGGATCATCTCTATGTTGAAGTGGCTAAGTATATTAAGAAGGAGTATCTAGTATATTTTTGTAGTGTGAGGAATTTAGAACATGAAGAGGCAGCCAAGCCTGAGGACATAGAAGTGGTGAACGGGTTTTTGGATGTGTTCCCAGAAGAGATTCCAGGAATGCCACCTAAGAGAGCAATCGATTTCACAATAGAGCCGGTTCCAGGAACAACACTAATTTCCAAGGCACCATATCGAATGACACCTGCAGAAATGAGTGAGTTAAAGGAGCAACTACAGGACTTACATGAAAAGGGATACATTAGACCAAGTGCATCGCCATGGGGAGTTCCAGTGTTGTTTGTTAAGAAAAAAGGATGGGAGTATGAGGTTATGTATTGACTATAGGGAGTTGAATAAGGTCACCATAAAGAACAAGTACCCATTGCTAAGGATTGATGACCTATTTGACCAATTGAGCGGCACATCTGTGTTTTCAAAGATTGATTTAAGGTCTGGATACCATCAGTTGAGGATCGCAGAAGAAGATATCCCAAAACTGCATTTAGGACAAGGTATGGACATTATGAGTTCACAGTAATGCCATTTGCATTGACGAACGCTTCAACAACCTTCATGGACTTAATGAATAGAGTGTTCCATCTATTTATGGACAAGTTTGTCGTGGTGTTCATAGATGATATATTGGTGTATTCAAAGAATAAGGAGGAACATGTTGAACATTTGGAGGTAATTCTACAAACCTCAAGGGAAAACAAGCTTTATGCGAAGTCTTCCAAGTGTGAGTTTTGGTTGGAGAAAATAACATTTCTAGGTCACTTTGTGTCCAAGGATGGGGTAAAAGTAGATCCAGCAAAGATTATGGCAGTGAAAGGGTGGCCTACGCCAAAGACGGTGTCTGATATTAGGAGTTTCTTAGTTTAGTAGGGTATTATAGGCGCTTTGTGAAGGACTTTTCTAAGATTGCTAAGCCTATGACCTCTCTAATGAAGAAGGACAAGAAATTCGAGTGGGGTGAGAAGTGCGAGGAAGCGTTTCAACTCTTGAAGCAAAAGTTGATTACAACACCAGCGCTTACATTGCCAGATGATAGTGGAATCTATGATGTGTATAGTGATGCATCCAAAAATGGTCTAGGATGTGTGCTTATGCAAAATGGGAAGGTGATTGCATATGCATCAATACAAATGAAACCTCATGAAGTAAATTACCCTACTCATGACTTAGAATTAGCTGCAATCATTTTTGCACTAAAGATCTGGAGGCATTACTTGTATGGGGTAAAATGTAGGATTTACACAGACCATAAAAGTTTAAAGTACATTTTCACCCAAAGAGATCTAAACTCACATCAAAGGAGATTGTTAGAATTTACAACGGACTGCGACTTTGACATACAATACCATGAAGGGAAAGCAAATGTAGTTGCAGACGGTCTAAGTCGTAAGACCAGTCATGGACTGAACACTTTGATAGTGGCTGATGAGTTGTGTAGGGAAATGAGGAAAATAAATTTAGAAGTGGTAGAATGGGGAGTACCAGCGAGTATACTTGCGAATCTAAGCATTCAACCAACAATATTTGATGAGATAAGGGAAAATCAGGCAGGAGATGTCATGTTGGATAGGATTCGTGAGAAAATCAAGCAAGGAAAGGCCACATATTTCAAAAATTCATGAAGATAGAAGTTTAAGGTACAAAGGTAGATGGTGTGTACCACAAAAATGTGAGGAAGTAAAGAGAAAATTAATGGAAGAAGGTCACAATACACCATACTCAGTACACCCAGGAGGGGACAAGCTATACAAAGACTTGAAAAAGATGTATTGGTGGCCTAGAATGAAGAATGAAGTTGCGAAATTTGTAGCAAAGTGTCTAACTTGTCAAAAGGTGAAAATAGAGCACAAGAGATCGCAAGGAACTGTGCAATCATTGGAAATTCCTGGATGGAAGTGGGACTGCATTTCGTCGATGGATTTTGTGACTTTCCTCCCAAAGTTAAAGAGTGGAAATGTTACCATTTGGGTCGTGGTGGATAGACCACCAACTCCACCAAACCACCACCATCACCACAATAGACAACTACCCACCACTAAACCAAAATTCCTACCAACTGCACAACCACTACTAGCATCGCCAATTGCTCCAACTACAAGACCCCCTACATCGGTCAAACGGAATTATAAATCCACCGCTTTTAAGAAAACCAATTGCACAGGTTGAGAGCACCAATTGCATAAGCCGATTAAAACCAATTGTAAAAGCCAATTTCACAAGCCGGTGATTAACGTGGGCTGGATTTAACGGAGTTCTCCGTTCGAATCATATGCCGATTAAATCAATTTGAACAGGATGGGATTGAAATTAATTGTAAAAATGCTCGTAAATGGCTCAAAATGATAAAGTCCCAAGGTCACAAGAGAAACTAACAATGTGGGTTGTTGAAAAATAAACGGAATGACGTCCCCCCACATTTCCGGTCACGACTCTACGATTACGATAGTTAGTTTAATACCTTTCCCTAAGGAGTTTGTATGGGCCCACTTTATATACTTTGCTACTAGGGTGTCTCTTGTTCAGCTTGCCGGTTTATAGCTGCGAAGCGGCGATATATGTGGTTAATTGGCGTAGCAAGGGAGGAGAGAGAAGGAATAGCAGGGAAGGAGAAATAACAGCAGAGAGGCAAGGGAGGAAAGAGAAGGAAGGAATTTTGTTCATGGTAGTTTAACGGTGTTAAATATGAGCCGTTAGGAACACATGGCATAAACAGAAGAAAAATTGTTTTTTAATATATAATACGCTTTTCAATGCAAAATAATTACTAAAATGTCATAGGATAAACACATCAGGTTTATCTAGGTTATAAACCTGGGCAGGCTCCTATAATTAAAAGATTGATATATGATGGAGAGTATAAAATAACGGAGCCAAAAATAAAATATTAACATTTAAATTACCATTATTTTTATTTTTTTTTGAAAGAAAATCACCATTATATAGTTGTACAATAATGAGTTCAATGGAAAAAAATAATAATTCTATTCATGGTGTTGATTTAAAATCTTATGAAATAATAATAATTGATTTAGTTTTCTATTAAATATTTTTGTAATAATTTTACCTACTTATAACTTTTTTTTTCTTTCAAAAAATCTATTAACTATTACTAAAATAGGTTATGCTTACATCGATCATTTTAGTCATATATGTCGCTATCATTAAAAAAATTTCCGTTAATACAATATATGATGTCAGTTTTAAGTTTTTTTTAGCTTATTTTTTGGAAGTACATTGTACAGTTTTTTTTAACTAAATTAATTCATTATTAAAAAGCCATACGACATCTACATTGTATAGTGTAGTTTTATGGGGAATAACATGAATCATTAATGTAATATAATGTATATTATTTTAAATATTTTCAATACAACTAATCAACAAAATATTTTTTTTGTTCTCAATTGTAGTTTTAATAATTTTTGCCTTATTATTTCATCTTTCTTATATGCATTGCATCTTGTTTATTCCACATGAGTTGCCTCATTTTAATATTATATCACAAATTAATTATGAAAAAAAAGATTATTACTACCATGCATTGCACGGGCACTAATCTAGTATTTTACTAATTTCTTCTCTTCTAGTGGACCCCTTACTACCTTATTTTAATATTTTCATATTCTCTCCTCCCAACTATCATACTTTATTCTTTCACCAACTCCACTTCCTTCATATTTTATTACTTTTTACTATTTCTCCTAATTCGCTCATGAAAATGGAGCAAGTAATAAAATACGGAGGGAATACGTAGTTATATAGACTGAAGACCGAAGACCGAAGACCGAAGACCGAACTGGAACATAGACATTTAACATACTTTGATACATATTGTATGCAAGGTCACATTATTAGGCCCAATCAAGCACTGCTGGGAAGCACAACACAATTACATCAACATACATTGATACATATTGTATGCAAGACACATTATTAGGCCCAATCAAGTACTGCTGGGAAGCACAACCCAATCACAGTTAACTTTGGTTCGAACATTAGTGGGTGCACTGACCAATTGACCATAACCTAGGCTACACTTGCCTTTTTGGCAAATCCGAATCTATTGACAAAAGTTGATATTTTGTAACAATATGATAATATATTGAGATGAATCTAACAAGATATAATACGACTATGATTTTCATTATATGTAAATAACCAATGATGATCAAATCAATATTTGTAAACCGTGACAATGGAACAACTTTAAAAAAACAAACGTATAAAGCACTATTTATAATCACAGTAACTAAAGACCTTCTTCCAATGATTATCGTATTTTGCACCGATTTTTTGCAGAAGAGTTTCAATAAGTCATGCATTTAGATTACTAGAATGTATCCTTGCTAATATACGGAGCACATCTTTAGCAAAGAAGAAGAGTCTTACATAGCCAATGGCGAAGTTAGAAAGGTAATTTATTTGTGGCCTTAAAAAATGCCTCCTCTAATATTAAGAATAATAGGATAAAAAAGAATGGTATTCCAATACTACTACTTAGTGCTTTTACCATTTGTATTAATTGTATAGCATCCAACTACTAAGGTAATAGACTATTTATCTGCAATGTAATTAAACCCCAACTTTCATCCTCCTATAAGTTATAAGCATCAACAGAAGGGCAAAACACTTCTTACTTTTACTGCAAGATGCCACTCTGCAAAGACTGACTTCAGGTAATCTTAAGACACTCTCAAACCACATGAAAGATCAAGTAAACAGAATCAGATTTACTTGAGTACTAAACAAATGAACACAGAGATTGAAGCCTTAATCGAAGATGATGACGGACTTGACATAAACAGTTTTATTTAGCTGGAACTTGATTACAAACAACTTATTTCCTCAGCATTAACATTTACAAAAATCAGAACTTGGTCAGAGTTTAAGATATGCAGCCTGTAAACTTCATCATACAACAAACAACATACAGCAACAGGCCAACAGCCCTCCATAAATCAGTTGACTCTTACCAAAAATTGTTAACTACGAGTATGTTGAATCATTTTTTCCCTCAAATTACTAATTTAGGCTCTTCTGTTGTGCAAATAACTCAGTCAAACTTAAAGCTTTTTGCAACATCGAAAAAGTGGGCAACAGCTTCTTCTGGTGTTCCCACAAGAACGCCATGACCAAGATTTAAGATGTGACCCCTCGGCCCTGCACATTTCACTACTCTGCAAATATCAAAGGGAAAAAAAATATATCAGCTTAACCCTCACCTTGTATAAAAGAGACAAAAGTCTTAAGGTTGCATAATTTGAAAAGACAACCTATGGATTTCATCTGTCAAGGCTGCAAGAGGAGAAAATAAACAAGCAGGGTCAACATTCCCCTGTACACTGATTTCTGGACCCAATCGTGACCTCCCATCGGCCATATCTACTGTCCAGTCCAGCCCAATCACATCGACTCCAGTATCTTTCATCCTTTCAAGGAGGCCGCCATTTCCATTGATGTAGAAAACAAGTGGTGTTTCAGGGCATTTTTTCCTCACTGCATCTACTACCTGCATTTTTTCTAAAGTCTATCAGATACCACCAAGCTTTTCCAAATTACAACCACACAAAAAGGAAGGGGTGTAGTGAAAAGGTATAGCCATCAAAACCAACAACTCATGGCTACGATAAGGCCCTATTCTCTTCACTTGATATTTACTAAATTATTTTTACTAATTAACTGATTCTCTATTATATTTTCTCTTTCAGCTTATCTTTACTGAACTTGACTAATTTTTCCTAAACTTAACTTATTTTTACTAATTCTTTATTATATTTGTTTAAGGTGAAGAGAATAGGGCCTAAGACTATTTAAACATCCAATGTCCGAGGAGTAGATCCATTTATGATACTAAGGTACTGTTCCAGATGTCAATGTTAAGCTCGTCCAGAAGGACCAGAACAATGTGTCACTCTCTTGCAGAGGAAGCTTATTTGGAAAGTTTAAGCTTATTAATCAGCTCCAAAAACCACAAAGACCTTAGTGCACAGTGCAGATTAACAGGCACAGGAATACAGTACAACAAAACCTTGCAAAATTATCAAACCAAAACAAACCCCACAACCAGCACCAGCTTTAGAATTACCATAAAGCTATGCAACCCTGCATCCACAGTCAGCTTCAACACCCCCCAATTCCCCACAAAAATAAGGGTAATACAAAAACTGGCAGGAAAGTAGGAACATCAGAAGGAGCTTCAACCAGGTCAGTGTACATTACAATAAAGAGAAAGCATTGACTAAAATTGACAGTAAAAGGAAGGAATGAGGAGGTAGATGTTTGTCAGGCGATATTAAAGCTTTTGATAAACAGTTCCACAGTAGTCTACGTATGATTACAAATCAGTGGGACGTGGGCTCAAGATTTGACAAAAGTTCTTATCTTGTTTAGCTTTAAAAATTTATCTGTAAAAGACAGTATAGAGGCTTGCATCTAACTTTTCTGGCTTAGCAGATAAAGAGAATTAATCACCCCTAGCAGACAACTTCTAAACAATAATGCAAGTCTCTTGGCGTTGAAAACAGAAAAAGTTCAAAAGCACAAGCTGACAAATGAACAATGATCTAGTCATAAACTGTAGAAAACAGATTGGAGACTTACCTGTTTGATGTAAGGCTTAGACCAGCGTTCCCACATATGTGGTGGTAGTTGTCCACCCCATGAATCAAATATTTGAATACAGTGAGCTCCAGACTTAACTTGGTAAACCACGTATTCAGTAATTGCCTCCGTTATGTGTGACAGAAGAGTCTCCAGGACATGAGGCGATGTATGGCACATACTTTTTATCGTGGTGTAGGTGCGAGTAGTACCCCCTTCCACTATGTATGTTGCTATAGTCCAAGGTGCACCCACAAATCCCAGAACGGCTGCCTTGTCACCAACCTAAGGGGAAGGGAGTGCATTTAGTAACAGCAGAGATTCATACAGCACGAAGGATTTACACAGGGATCATGAAGAAAATAGCATTCACCTCATGGCGCAAAATGTTAAGAGATTCGCCAACAAAGTTAAGTTTTTCCAAGTCAATTGGATGCAATGTTTTCAAGGCATCTTCATCACGAATAGGTGACTGGATGACAGGGCCTCTGACTTCTTCTATGTCAAAAGGTACCCCAAAAGCAGGGAGAGGGGTGAGTATGTCAGAAAATATTATAACCCCATCAGGGTGAAATGCTTCCCAAGGCTGCAAGGAAATTTTCACAATAAGATCAGTTGTCTCTGATCTCTCTCTAAAGGATGGGTATTTCTCTGCGAGCTTTCTGTAAACAGCCATATACCTTCCTGCCTGGCGCATCATCCATGCTGGGGGACGGCTAACAGAATGTCCTCTCGCAGCCTGAACCAAGAGCGGATCTGAATTTTGTAAAATGTGGAGGAAATAAGAGATCTAGCAATCAAATGAATAAAAAAAAAAAAAAGATACAAAGTGGTAAAAGCTCACATAACGTCATCAATGCTCTCAGCAGCAGCATAGGTCAAATAGTCAGCCATCTACCATGATGCAAATAAGACATAATACAGTGCTGTCTTCGGAATCAATTTGTACATTCTAATGTATACCACCACAAACAATAGCAGTGCTGTCTTCGGAATCAATTTGTACATTCTAATGTATACCACCACAAACAATAGCCTGTCTCCTAAGATTTAACCTCTGGTGAAACTCTCAGAAACATAAGTTAAGCTCATTTTTTAAAAAGAGTTTAATAATTTAAAGGTTCACAACCTAGTCTATCGTGGATTTCTTAACCATTATGCGTGATTTCCAAATTATTTGTCCTCAGTTCTTCTTTCCCAATGCCACAAGCCATGTCTTTCAATAATGTATCAGAAAATATATTATCTAAACATGCTAGTCACAGCCTAGTGCTAATACAAAGAAGTTGTATGTTCACATGCTTATACACCAATGTTTAAGAGGATAGATCTGTACAGTTCCTGTACTCAACTCAATAAACTGATGTATCAGCCAAATGTTGGTGTGAAGGTGACATTTTAAGGGTATAAACAAACAGTATGAATTCAGAAATTCTAATGTTACTATGCAGCTTGCTACGAGACATTACCTCCCCCCACCACCACCAACATCCCCCATCCAATAAAGATATAAGTACAATTTATTAAAATCATCTAAATATAAACGCTTGGCCTCACGTCAAGTTCCGAGCTATAAAAAGTTGAAGAATATTAGTTGGGTTTTTTTCTTTTTAATAAATCCAGAATCATCTAGAATGGATATTAAAGATAAAACATGGTTCAGTTTTCAAAGGTAATTTCTCTTCAACTTCTGCTCAGGTTAATCATAATAAGCTTCAGCAACCTTTTAAAACCCAGGAAATTAAGAAGGCAATGCTCGCCAATTAAAAGGTTTGAAATCGACTGGGCCAGATGATTATTCCTTAAGAGTTTTTCAAAGTGGAAAGGGATATGATTAAGAATTCATTTATTAAGGCAATTTTAAAATTACGCAAATTAGGATTTTGGTTAAAAGAATGGAATCAATCTATCACAGTTAGGTGCTGGCTCCGTAGGAAGTTGGTCAGCTACAACCAATCAATTTGAGTAACACAAGTTACAAGCGCTTGGCTAAGTGCTTAAGTGTAAGGCTAACTGTATGCAAGAGTATACTAAATTCATCACAAATTTTGGTTGAAATACTGGAATCATTTGGTAATCGTCATGATCCCTAAGGTTCTGGTTCCATAAGAAGTTGGTCAGCCACAAGCCTACAACTTATCAATAAACAAATTACAACCACTAGAATAGATGTATGGCTATCTCTATGAAGGATATACTGCACAGATTAATCACAAATTTCTAGCAAGTGTTTGTCCTTGGAAAACATAAAGAAAAGTACTCTTTTATGCCATGAGTTACTTCTTGTCTTAATACAAGAAAAAACGAAACTAATTTGGAGGTGCTTAAGATTTACATGAATAAGGTGTGTAATCGGGTTAGCTGGTTCTTTCTTCTTAAAGTGTTATGTGTACATGAGTTCTTGAAGCATTGGATTCAACTCATCAGTCTATGCATTATAATAGTTCCTATCACAGTTTTGGTAATTGGAAATATTCAAAGCACTTCTAATCCCATTGTGGATTGCGCCAAGGTGACCTTCTCTCACCTTTATGTTTTCAATTTGCATGAATATATTATCTAGAATGATTTTTCATGAAGAAAGCTTCCTATGTCTTAAAGTGTTAAGGAACAGCTCCAAAATTCCCAGATTGTTTCTTGCATATTATCCCACAATCTTCTTGAAGGCCTCTCTTACTACTTGGACGTTATCTACAGGTCTTGTCGAGTTTCTGGTCAACAAACCAATCATAAGATCCATAATAAATCCTTACTTTAGTTTATTCCTAATACTGGCCCTCGAGATCAAGAAATAATGAAAGGAACCCTGACTTCAGAGAGTGAATAGGGTCACTAGTGTGGGCACATATTTAAGACCTCTTATTGATTTAGAGTGGAAAAGTAACCAGCATTCTAAGTTATCATTGATGATGTTCTGAGTTTCCAACTAAGATTTTATATTGGAACAGTGGGCTCCGGCCAAGTTCCTTCACGTTACACGATACAAATAGAAATGCTCTAAGATGTCATGGATTGTTTCTTTATTCCTTCTTCCATTTCTAATAATACTGAAATAATGATTGCAAGCTTGAGCTACTTAAGATTTAAGAGAACCAGCGGTATATATTCCCAACATATTCCCCCACAAACAAGGCATTGGTAATATTTTAATACCCAACTAGCAGTTTCCAAAATATTTCCCATTCCCTTTTCTCCTAATTCTCATTCCCACATACCAAACAACCCGTTAAAATTTTATATATTTCTCATTGTTAGCTAAAAATCTTAATGGTGTTAAGTATTTTCAAGTATCAAAATACAAACGATTTGCAAAAAAAAAAGATTGTAATTAATAAGACTTAAGATTAAACTTAGAATTATAAAATCCATACCAGTGGTAGCAGAAGCAGAACAGGTCTGAGGGAATTTCCTGTAATTGAGCTTGCGACGAGGAGGGATAATGTGTTTATAATTAGAATTCGGAAGAGTAGATAAAAAGCTCAACGAATTCCAACCATTAGTGTGACAACAACCGCTGCAAAATTCGCTATGAAAATGAAAATTGAGGATTTACATAATTCAAATTTGAGGTCCTTGCAAATCAATAATTATCAAAATTAAGAAAAAAAAATCCAAAATTGAGGAAGTGTATTGACCTTGAAAGAGAAAGAAGAGTCATCTTCAATGGCTATTTATTTTCTCTCTTGCTAATTATTTTTCTTCAATGGCTTCAGTTGCTGAAAAGAGGCAATGTGACTATGTGAGTAAGGACAGGGCTCAACTTTATTATAATCCCTCATCAATAGTCTGATTGTTTTGAATAGTGCATATAACATGGCATTGTTTTAATTTTTTTAGAAAATAACTTCCCGTTACACCGGCCTCTTTTTAGTTTTTACCGATAATCCTTAAAAAAAACTCATTATGCCCGGAATAACAAAAGATGTCATAGTTATATGCATTATTCACACATAGCGAAAACTTTTATAATCTCTCAGTTTGTAGAGATTGAACTTTAATCATATATGTATGCTAATGTATTAATTAAATACTTCATATTAAAAGCAAATAACCCCTCTTCTTTTGTTTTGTCTATTATTAAAATACAAATGATTTCATTAGTTTATAAGACTAACCCCATTTTTCCATGGACTGATTAGAGTAACCCCATCCACCCCATTTATTCATTGTCGTAACACCCTTATTCGATTTGTTTAGCAATAACCTTATAGAAATCCTCTTTTTAAGTGTTTTTTTTTTTTTTAATTCCACTTAGATAAGTTCATTATTGATTTCCAACTACTGCTTTGAAATAATTTAGGGTATAGAAAAATTTCTCTTGGGCAAATGAATTGTTAAAACCATCCCAATACTCAAACAAATCCATACACCCAGTTACTTGAGCCTAAATTGGTCAAGATAAGGATCAACATTCAGGCCCGTCCCTGAGGAAGGGCAGGGAGGGGCGGCAGCCCTGGGCCCAGGGAAAAGAGCTCTGATTTCATAGTTGAATCCCAACATTAAAGTGTTGTGCAATACATTAGCAACCAAATTTGATTCAATTATCTCACAATTTTAGGGATATTTGATTCAATTATCTCATAATTTTAGGGATATTTGATATGATGATAACAAATACAAACAACTTACCTCAGAAGCTGCTTCAATGGGGGATATAAGAACTAGATTCAACGGAGAACGGCAACTGCGCTTCAATGGAGAACGGCTACTGCGCTTCAATAGAGCAATTCAATGGGTTGGACGCCTTGGATCCCTATTAAAAGCCATGACCCATGACCCGCCACAGTTATTAATTGGTTAGATCCGTCTAATAAATAAATGGGCTGAGTCTTTATATGATCGTCCAATTAAGGGGTATGGCAGACCTTTTAAAGGTTTAGAGTAAACCTGTTTTTAAAAGTACGGAGTATTAGTTTATCTTTACACTTCCATTTTTCAAATACTATCTTCACACACCAAAGCTTGTATAATTTGTTTGTAAGTTTTTTTTTTTTTTTTTTTTTTGGAAATTGCTGAAATTACAGTGATTAAACTGAGTTTACAACAAACGAAAGGAAAGTATGGTAACATAAGTCAATTACAAGTTATCATGTCTTAAATGTGGTTAGGATGAGTTTTCCTCAAAAAAGAATGTGGTTATGATGACTCTTTTGTCGTGACCATTATGGTAAATTAATTGTGTCACGTGAAGTGTGAACTATGCATTTGTATAGGTAGTGTTACCTTTGCGGTTTTAACATCAGCTGACGGTCACCTACATTTTATTATAAATACAATTGCAGACTAGCAAGTGTAGAATTGTATGAGTTAGTTAATTGTATGAGTTGGTTAGTGACTTGTGTAAAACAAAAAATTACTAGTGAATAACTTTGGAAGTGACAACTTTAATACCTTTTTTTTTTTTTGAAAAAAAACCCATCTAGATCAACCGAAGAAATTTCCAAAATGCGAGGAGGGATTACATCACTCCACACCCATTGGCCAAACTCTCATGGTTGAAAGTAAGTCAATTTGTGTGCTACATTATTAACCCATCGCTTTACAAAAGACCATGAATCACTAAAATTAGAAGAAAAAAAAATCTAGAATATCCTTCATAATCAGATGAAAGGGACTGGAGCCATACAAACGCTTCCCCATTGCCTTAATCACCACCAGATTAACTCTTGATCCAAATGCAGCTCATATTCTTGTGTCTCGCAATCTTCATGCCCCAAAATACCGCTTTCACCTCTGCAATCTTAGTATCTCATTTTTCACTCCACTACACCGTAGCTCCCTAAAGCACCACCCCATCACTATTCCTGCTAACTGCACCCAGCCCCGTCCCCACCTCCCCCAAAACACCAGCATCAACAATAATTTTAACCACACCAGATGTCGAAAGAGACCTGTCCATAGAGACACTCTTTCCACCCCTCCATTCCCCATATTCAACTTTTCCACCTTTAATCTTCAAAGCATAGACAATAATTTGCTTAACATTCGGATTTTCACCCAAATCATCCATTTGTTCCTTGCGCCCCACATAGCCCAACACATGGTAATTAAACTCACCATATCCTTTCCAAAATTACCAAAACATTGCTCCCACCAGTCACCCATACTACAAAGAGAGTGAGACAAAACCATAGAATAATTGCACTTACTCCAAATTGCTCGGGCTAAATTGCAATCTTTTAACGCATGGATGACAGATTCTTCTTCTCTCTGGAAAACACCACAAGCTAGTACCTAGGGCACAAACTAGCTACAAAAAAATTAGCTTTAAAATCTTATGTGGCCAAAAAAGCTAATTTGCTAATTAGCGTACCATTGGAGTTGCTCTAATACTCCATCTGTTCCTTTTATTAGATACATTTTGACTTTACACCCTAGTATCCCAACCAGTCTAGCGAACACCCACCCTAACCCTAAGTCTAACTCTCGAACCCCACTTATTTGGCGAACTCCCACCCAAACCCCAACCCTTACTCTCAAACCACAATTATGTGGAGAACTCCCACCTAGCCCTAACCTAGCCGATCGATCGAACCCACACAACTCCCACCCCCCCTAGTCGGCACGAACCTATGACCACCCAGCCCTCCACACCAAACTTGGCACCCCAATCTTTTTAAAAAATTATTTATTATAGTTAAAGTTAAAAATAATTTTTTATATTTAAAATTAATATTAAGCTATATTTTGTTTTTAATTAAGTCAATTCTTATTTAATTGGGAGGTAATTATAGTATAAGTCAATTGATGACTTGTTTGACTGGTCACAAGTCAAATCTAGTACTTAAATTATTTATGGAATGTGGACATCAATATTAGACTTATTTTTTAATTCATTAAAGTTGACTTAATAGTGGAAAATCACCTAAAGTTCGACTTATTATAGTAATTTTTTTCATTATTTTATTATATTAGACTTTCCTTTTACTAATTATTTGTATATGAACTTATATTTTACACAAATATTTTCTATACGAGAATGACAAAAAAAGCAAAAAAAAAAAAGAATGGTACATTATCTCACCAAGAATCAGCACAATTTTTTTTAGTGTGTCTTTAAGTATATAGTTATTGAAATATATACTTATGGATTATTGATTGGTTATTATTTATTGATGATTACTAGTTATTTATTTAAGTAAATATAAAAATATGATATTTAATTATATTTTTTTCTAACGGATATATCACAAAAGAAGATCAAAAGAGAAGTGTGAATGAAAATGTCCAAATGGTGCAATTAAAGAAAGGGAGATAGTATTTAACAAATTATATAAAATTATTTACAAATTAAAAAACTACATAACTATTTAACAATTATATAAATGAATAATTTTTTTAATTATCATTTTGCCCTGGACCTCTAAAATGTCAAAAACGGTTCTGTCAACATTGGTCATAAATAAAGGTGTGCACGGGCCGGGGCAGCACGGCCCGGCCGGCCCGGCGAACGACGGGGCACGTCACAGCACGTGAGGTGGACTGGCCCGGCACGGTGGTTGGCAGGTGGGCCGTGGGCCGTGCCACGTTCAGATATTCACAATTTCTAGCACGGCACGGCACGAGCCCGCGTGCCAGCCCGCTAGGCAAGGCCCGCGTGCAAGCTGCAGACCATTGCTCAACGTCACAATTCTTCCCCTCAATAGCTCCAACGGTCTTCTTCCCCTAAATTTCTATAAATACCTCCACAATTCTTCATTCCAAATCACTAATTCACAATCTCTTCTCTTAATCTCTTATGTTCTCTAATAATTCTCTTAATCTCTTATATTCTCTAATAATTTTCTTAGTCTCTTAAATTCTCTAATTATTATCTCTTAATATCGAAAAAAATAAAAGTTCGTAATCGTAATTAGTGGAAAGCGTTGAAGCACGGTTGTAAGATCTAACTAATCTTTATTATTGTTGTTATCATTATTGTTATTACTTATTAATTATTATTATTGTTATAATTATTGTTATTAATTATCATTATTGTCATTGTTATAATTGTTGTTATTAATTAATATTATTATTGTTATTGTATAATTGTATAATTATTATTATTGTTATTGTTATAATTGTTGTTATTAATTATTATTATTGTTATTCTTATTGTTATAATTGTTGTTATTAATTATTATTATTGTTATTATTAAAATTATTATTGTTAACTATAGCATCACCAAACATGAACAACCCATTATCCTATAGGAAAGCCTGATTTGTCCGTGGTAATAGTTCTAGGGAATCACCTAATCCAATGACCCCCCCCCCCAATTTCAAGTCCGACCAATGACCTGGGTAACGTCCCCCCAGGCTTTGAACAATTTAGGCACGATGGTACTTCCGGTTTTCAACCGTATAACATGAATAATATGAATATGGCCAGATTTCCACAAAACCAATTTCCACAATTCGGTCAATTCCCACCTAATTTCTTTGACCCACAAAATTTTTATTCTAGCCAAGATAGCCAACAAGATACCCTAAATGCCTCCGGTTCTACCACTAACCAACAAATCCCCGAATCCACAAACACCAATTCCCAAACACACAAGAGCAATGATTAACCGAAAGTGACATGGTAAATATTAAAAGCCGCAAAAGTGATGTATGGAATTATTTTGTGCTAAATAAAGCCCAAACAAGAGCAAAATGTAAAACATGTGGTAAAATATACTCGGCAGAATCCAAGTCCGGGACGGGACACTTAAGTAGACACTCTAGAAATTGTGCACAACCAGCTAGTGATCCAACCGAGCCAAAAATTTCCAAATCTCATCCACACGGCTTTACCTACAACTATGAGAGGAATAGGGATGAACTAAGGAAAATGATAGTACACGCCGACCTACCTTTTCTTTTCTCCGAAAGTGACCCATTTAAAACTTACATTTTACAACCCAACATAAAAGAATCTCTAGGAAAACTGTTCATTCCATCACCATGAAAAACTTCCTAGAGTACAAATTGCGGTTACAAGACGAATTGAGTAAACTTAATTGTAGAGTGTCTTTGACTGCCGATTCTTGGGATAGTGGTTATAAATATCACTATTTATGTGTGACTTGCCATTGGGTAGATGATCAATGGTTGTTACAAAAACAAATAATTCATTTTAAAATGCTAGAATACCCCCACGTCGGTGTTAACATTGCTCACTATTTAATGGAAGCAATAAATGAATACAACCTTCGAGAAAAAATCATGTCTATAACATTTGACAATGCAACCTCAATGACATATACTGCTAATTATGTCAAAAAAAACTTGACCGATGTAATATTAGATGGTGACGCACTTCATACTAGATGTGTTTGCCATGTTCTTACCTTATGTGTACAGGATGGAATTAGAGGAATTGGTCCATACTATAAAAAAATTAGAGATGTTATTATGTCTATTAATAGCTTAAAAATGAGATACCAAGAATGGAAGAGTTTTCTAAAGCAACAAAAGATAAGAGCAATAAAAATCAAAACCGATTGTCCAACTAGGTGGAATTCCACCTATGACATGTTAACCAAGGCAATTGAATATAAGAATCCTTTAACAATTTTTTAAAACAGAAAATTTCCAAACAATGCTATATATGAGGATGATTGGGATAAATGTGAAAGATATATGCAATTTTTACAGTTATTATATAACATGACGTTTTGTTTTTCTTCTGTTTATAATCCTTGTGCTCAAAACTTTCTTTCAAATGCATGTTTACTCGCCCAACTTTTCGCTGATCATCGCAACCAAAGTGATTATGATCAATATCTTCCGGCAATGGAAACAAAGTGGCGTAAATAATATAGTGAAATTCCTTTGATTTATATTTTTGCTTCCATATTAGATCCTAGGCAAAAGTATGAAAATACATTTATGCTAGTTGACATTTATTTTCGATGCATGCTTATTTACGATAATGTAGAAACCTATAAGAGTAATGTGAAGGATTAATTTTTGGCTTTATATAGAGTCTATGAAACCAAATATGGCACCGTTCCTCGCTCAGGCCCTTCCCAACCATCCAAAAACGTAAGTAAAAAGGTCCAACATGTATTTTCACAAGCTACTAACTTGATTTCAAGGTTTTGAGGTGATTCATCAATAAGGAGAACGCAAAGCGATGTCTCGGAGTTGCAAATGTACCTGAGTTACAACTTCACCAAGGGCATGGATGACA